TTACCTGTCAACAATGCTTGTCACTGCTGCCGGTCCCCGAAGCGATCCTCCTTCCCGCACTTCCTGGGCACGGGGGAGGGGTCTTCTTCCGTCGGTCACACTGTTGGGCGGAGAGGAGGGGCCGGGCCTGCTGCAGGGCTGTGTGTGAAGCACACAGCTACTGCAGGCATGGCTAGGAACGTGCACACACAGGTGTACCCACAGCAGCCGCTTACCTGCTGGCAGCACCCATGCAGGGGGCAGAGGGAGGGAGGATGCGGGGACCCACTAGGAAATGAGGAATTGAGAAATTAAAAAAAAAACTAAGATCTGCAATATAGACTGCCTCCCACTGGTAAAAAAACAAAACCTAAAGCTTTAATATCACTCTAAACTGAAGGCTTGGGACATCTTTGGGATTTGGGAGAACTTCAATCTATATGTGGTGTTACAGAACAGCATGATTTTTACAGACAGCCTCATCAACAATGTAATCTGGCAGTACATATTTGGCTGTTAAATTTGTTGCTCTTGTACAATTGGTTTTGCTTAGAGCAGCAGCAACACGCTCGGCCAACCCGAAGCCATGCGAAGCAAGCCGATGTACGGCTGATTTCAGCCGATATTCGGCTGAAATCAGCCGTACCAGCCTGAACTGAATAGCCGAACAGTGTTCGGCTCACTTCACTTCAGGTCGGTCATTCACTCGGCTGCCTACGGCAGCTTAGTGAATAGACCCCTTAGTGTTCATGTCCTGACAGGAGGATAGAGCAGAGTGGCAGAAAGAGGAGCTCATAAGTCTGCTTTTTCGCTTCCATTGTCCAATGGCAGGCTAGGGTCAAAAAATAACTAGTTGTATTGCTTGACTGCTATACAGAAACATCAGTTTGCTGGGCTTTCTTTGCTGTTTGGTAGGTATATAAAAAGCTCAAGATGGAATAGGCAGAAAGATATGTGATAGGTAAAACAGTTCTTCTCTATATATATTAGATGTGTATTAAGCTGTTTGCCTAGGGTTCAGCTCAAATATACTCATCTCTTTATCTTTCATCAAAGGTTAAACTGTATATGTAATAAGTAGTAATGCAGTTATAATGTATTTTATGAAGATACTTGAAATCACTTTTGAGTTCCAAGCTATGTGTAAATTTACATCTTATAAATGCTTTACATGTCACAAGTGTATTATACATATTTTATTTTAAAAAATGTCTAACATCATTTTTTTTTTTTGAACAGAGAGAATTTTTTGAACGTCTTTATATTATGTACACAGTTGGATACTCCATTTCATTTTGCTCATTAGCAGTAGCTATCTTCATCATTGGATACTTCAGGTATGAATCTTAATTCTCTAGATTCTATAAACACAGCTCACATAGCCCAAGAAACTGCAGGGCTGATCATGTAACTAAATTTCAAGCCATCTTATTGAATACCACATGATACAATAACTTATAGCAACTTGTCAGTTGCTCGTTTTCAGACATCAGTAATCTAAATGTTGATTGGTTGATATATGATGCTGCAGTTTACAATTAAAAGCCCAACTCCAGCCAAAACCTTTTTTTAGTTTTTAATAGTCCATGTTTTTTTGTCATCTTTGACGATGTTGGGGAGCTATTATCTTACTTCCTCACCTATTCACAACCTGTGACAGATAAGAGAAAAGTGGTTGCCACAGGGACAGGAATACACAGGTAGTAATAGTAACCTGATAGAGGTTGCAATCCTTTCCTATTTACTAAAAAATATGTGTTTTGTTGTACTGTAGTATTTTGTTCTGACTGGAGAGATTTTCATTAACTTCCTGTTTCAAGAGTAAATCTCTCCAATGGGTCTAAAATTGGAATAAAAATCCAGCAGGGGCACTATCCTCTACACCTCTGTCCAAAACAAAAAAAAGGTTTTATGTTGAGTTGGGCTTTGATCAGTGGCATCTCTAGCCTTTTTGCCACCTGAGGCATCGGGGGGAGGGACTGCTCTGGCCAGCGTACGACCCAGCTCCTGGCAACTAGTGATGTTCCTGGTTACCAGGAGCTGGGTGGGCACCAACCAAAGGGTCCTAGGTTGCTAAGAGCTTCACGTCTTAGAAACATGGGACCTTCTGCGTGGAAAGGTGGCGGCATTGTACAGCAGAGTGGCCACTATACAACAAACATGCTGCTCTGCCTGCCGCCCCCGCTTCCTCAGTGGCCCAAAGAGATGCCACCTGAGACAGCAGCTGCCTCATTAAAATGACGGTCCTGGCTTTGATGTTTGAACTGTGCTGTTAGATAAGCCTGCATGCGTTAAACATGATGATAACTGGCTGTAACCTAAAGTTTTAGACATGAACATCAGATATATTATTTTTATTTCATAGCTTAAAAAAAGTTTGTAGTTCACGTAGGCTTACAAGGACAAACTGATGCAAACTACAGTTTTCTGGGTTTTTTCACTCTGCAGAGTTATGGTCATGAATAAGCTCAATTTAAAGAAATTATTTTTCAAAGCAAAAGTCGAAGGTTCTTGTTTACTGCAAGCAAAGACCCACATCATTTAGTCTGCAAACTGAAAACAGCAGTAGAAATATATGTTTTCGAAAAACACAGCCAAAAATCCCTTATAGTCCAGCATAGCTAAAATAATTCTACCTGCTAAGTTTAAATCCACTGACCCTAGCAGACCGATGCAGCACACATCATAAGCTCACTGCATATGTTCATATGTGTGGGGCATATTTATAAAGCAGTGAATGTAAATGTTACCAAGCATTCACTGGTGGTGAATCAATCACTGTCATTTAAAACACACAAACCTGAAAGATTGGCCTGCAGTAAATGTTTTGTGACAGTCTGATTGAAAGCTTTATAAGCCCCATAATGTATAATGTGTTCTGAAGCTGGAACTTCTTTTTAACTGCAAAATAATTGGCAATAACTGGAAAGTGTAAAAGACGTGGTTCACATTGTGGGATTTCTTAAGGTTCAGCACAATCCAAAGAAACAACAGCCCACACTGCTTTATGTAGCAAAAGATGCGATGATGGTTAAAAAAAGTATTCTATTATGTTTTTTTATTTCATACCCAGACTGAGCAGGGAGGCTGACAAAGGATTTTTCAATATGTTATTTTACATTGTTGAGTGATCAGAAGGACAATATAAAGAACACTACAAAGTCCCCAGTACACTTTCAATCTAGCCAGCAAAAAAACAAACTTTTAACTACTGGAAATCACAAATGGGCAGATTGACCGCTTGAAGACCAGGTGGTTTTTTTTACATTATGTTATAAAACAACTAATATTACCGACTTTTTTGGTAAAATATAAAAGACGGGGTCACGTCGAGTAAATAGACACCAAACATGTCAAGCTTAAAAATTGCACGCACTCGCAAAATCGCAAAAAACTAGCATACCCACAATTGGCCATAGGTGACACTTTAAAAGCTTTTACAGCTCATCAGTTTAGTGTTATCAGTGATTGATGGCCCTAGAATTATTGCTCTCACTGCGACGTTCGCTGCGATATGTAACATGTGTGGCGTAATTGGCGCAATCGTCGTTTTCACAGGTATGCGCACCTGACGCATGTTTACATGCGTGTATGTAGGGGTGGGGACTTTAAAAAAAAAATTACATTCTTTTTTATGTGTAACTTAAAAAAAATTGGGGGGTGGGAAACTTTTTTCCTATTTTTTTTTTCACTTTACTTTATTGCTATCACAGAAGGGGCTAAGACACCCCTCTAGCATAGGGGGTGATAGCAAAAGAGGTGACAGGTCCTCTTTATGGAGACATCAGGGGTCTCCAAGAACCCTAATGTCACCTAGGACCCCCCTGAAGAAGCTGATGAAGCAGAGATCTGCTTCATCAGCTTCTCTCCAGCATCTGAAGCTGGAGAGTGACACGAGAATGCGGAAGTGATGCAATATACACCACTTCCGCATTCTGACAGCGGAGAGGGGACCGGAGGGAGATCGTGAACCGACCTCCCTCTAATCCCCTGTGACGGAGGCAGTATGCTGGTCCCGGGCTTACACAGGAGCCCGGGACCAGCTTGACAGCGGGAGGGGGAGCCGCGGAGGGGGGAGCGCACATCACGGGACCTCATACAAGCGATCTGCCGGCTCTATAGCCAGCGGATCGCTTGTATATTAACGGACGTCGCTGCCTGTTTTCAAATAACGGGCATTTCCCGCTCGCGCGCGCCGTGCAGCACGCCCGAGTGGGCGGAAGTAACAGGACGTGTATACACGCCCAGTTACATCCAAGAAGCTCTCGGCCGGCCATGTATACACAACGGCCGGGAGGTAGTTAAATGGCCTTTTTACCTGAACCTCCGGGTTGCTACAGGAAATTAATTTAGTGGTGAAAGTAATACTGCCACTATATGTGACAGTTTTCTGCTCAGGGTCATGCACCCCCTCCAATTGGTTGCTAGATTGCCGGTGGCCACCTGTACTTCGCATGGTGGTTAAAAGCTTCCCCAATGCATGTTGTTTAAATGAATTTTGTATTTTTATATTGCCATTTCAACCTTAAGAGCTCCTTCCCACTAAATGGTATTTTTTTTCAAGTTGTTACATGTCCAACAGGCAATGCCTAGCTCCCTATAACCTTTGTTTGATAATCCCTTGCCTATTAGTCATGAAAATGGAGATAATTGATTTTCAAAATTCACTTTACAGTGACTTCTATGGGGTTTACATTTAAGTTCACAATCTGCAAATATATGACATGTTTTGGGAGTAAATCTAAAGCAAATGCAGTGTATATTGTACCTGTGAACTGAAAAGAAAAATGTGGACAAGAAGGTCGACATGAAATAACTTTTTTATGGATTTTTTGTTTCTTGAGATGTGGTTACAGCATTCTAGCAAACTTACTTTCAAACTGGACTTGATAGGAAAGTAAGGATGTGAAAATTCAAGGCTTTTAGCAAATATATGTGCCCCATTATATCACCTGCCATGACATATGGTCAAAGGTGAGTGAATTGTTTTCTAAGAATAGAATTTGATCTTCTTCAACATTTGGTGATTAATGCTAGTTGTATTTTCATTTATGCAGCATTAGGACATAAGGTGTTTTATCCCTTAGAAGCTTCTCTTCTTCATCCTGGCTATTGCGGGATCAAAGCAGAAGAGGCTCTTATATAAACCTGAATACAGCAACCTTTCTTTATGATTAGGGTGGATGTGCTAGTTTCAGCCAGAGTTTACATAATATGGGATTGATTTACTAAAGAAGCAGAGTACTTTCACTTGGGGCCTGTTCACACCGAAATCGGACCTACAAAGTCCACAGATGGTCCGTTGACTTGCAATTTCAACCTCTGTTGACTTCTGTTCCTTTTTCATATATTTTTTTTATTTTGTACAAGCCTTATCCTGATTGAACAAACTTCTATGCATTTTTTTTTCTTATTTCTGTTCGGTTGCATTGTTTTTCCTTTCATTTTTGACACTTTCCATTACGTTGCACTGAAAAAAGTAGAGTATACTCTATTTTTTTTCAGTGTACTGCAGCACAACAGAATGGAACAGTGTGAACTGGTCCCATTGAGATCCATTCATTTTTTGGGGTTACCTTCTGTTGGGATATGTTGACATCTGTTGAAAAAAGGGATCCCAGCGGATCGGGTGTGAATGTCTGAGCAAAATACTTATCTTTTAAATTTTCCTTGCACATGATTGGGTATACTTTGCAAGGTTAATGCCCACTTTAACTTCACCTCATTTATTAAACTTACTTTGTAAAGTGAACATGCTGTACTTCTTTGGTAAATCAACTCTATTAGATAGAAAAGGTTAGTAACTAGAGGTGCACCAAAATGGATACTTTAAAACTGAAACGAAACCGAAATAAACAAATTGTCAGGCTTAAACCGATATGGAAAATGTTTTTTATTTAAATTTTTTAAACATTCAAATATTTTATTTTTATTTATTTTTCTATAAACTGTTCATTGATAACATGAGGACATGGTATGTTTACTATACCTACAACTATGAACAGGAGGTGATGTAGATCACTCCCATTCATAATTGAGGATATAGTCACCATACCATGTCCTCAATTATCTACAAACACTGAGGGGTCCATTCACTAAGCTGCCGTGTGAATGACCGACCTGAAGTGAAGTGAGCCGAACACTGTTCGGCTATTCACTTCAGGCTGGTACGGCTGATTTCAGCCATACATTGGCTGAAATCAGCCGTACATCGGCTTGCTTCACATGGCTTCGGGTCTGAGCATGTTCGGCCGACCCGAAGTGCAGAAGGAGTTTGACTCAGCCGATCCAACATCTGGATATATATTTACTGAGATCCGACTGCCACGGCCTCTGT